TTAAGGACAATTTTACCCACGGTCCTTGGAGAGGTGTGATTCTGGCTTAACCTTTGGTGGTTTCCTCATTCTTGAGGAAAGAAGTCAGCTAAGTATGATGTCAGAATTCCCTTGATTATCTGCTTCATACCTTATATTTGAAATTACTCCTCTGAGATCTTGACGTCAATGGTTAAGGAAATGAACCGTGAGCAGGAAATCTCCAGTTGAAATTGTAGCTCAGTCATGAAATCACTGCATGGCCTTAGATGTTCCACAAGAGGAAGAAGCTTGGAAGAAGGCCAACAGAGGTAGAATCATGGAGAGAACAGCAGAATCATGTAGTTAGAATGGACCTCAAAGGTTATCAAGTTCTTGTCCCCTGTTGATGAAGGAAATCCACTTCTATGGCATCCTTAGTAAAAGGTAAAGGGATCCCTGACCATTAGGTCCAGTCGTGACCGACTCTGGGGTTGCAGCGCTCATCTCGCTTTATGGGCCGAGGGAGCTGGCATACAGCTTCCGGGTCATGTGGCCAGCATGACTAAGCCGCTTCTGGCAAACCAGAGCAGCGCACGGAAATGCCATTTACCTTCCCGCCAGAGCGGGACCTATTTATCTACTTGCACTTTGACGTGCTTTTGAACTGCTAGGTTGGCAGGAGCAGGGACCGAGCAACGGGAGCTCACCCTGTCGCAGAGATTCAAACCGCCGACCTTCTGATCGGCAAGTCCTAGGCTCTGTGGTTTAACCCACAGCGCCACATGCATCCACGGCATCCTTAGTAGGTGATCATAAAGCCTCTGCTTAAAAATCTCTAACAAAGGACTGGGCCACCACCTCGCAAGGCAATCTGTGTTCCACTGTCAAACAGCTTGTACAACCAGGAAGTTCTTTCCAAAGTTTAATCAGGATTCCCTTTTCTTGAAATTGAATACATCAGTTTGGGTCCTACAAGTCACAGAGAACAATTTGGCCCCAGCAAACCTTCAAGCATTTAAAGATGGCAACACTGGCTGGATGGTCCATGGCCTGGGGATGCAGGAGAACTTAACGCTGATGTTGCTTCAAATGATAAGATCACCCACTGCTTCAGTGGCAGTTTTGGTCCAGAGGAAAGATGAGGTTCCTTTCCTATGAAGAAATGTATAAGAATCCCTGAGGCTGGAACTCAGGGCAGAAGCAAAAGGTGACATTTTACCTTGATGTCCTGGACTTGATTATTAAGGTGAGGCAGGTACAGGCTCTGTATACCATGGCAATTCTGTGAAGTAAATCAGATATCCACAACTGTTCACCTCTTGCTTTCTCATGGCCCTGAGCAAGCCCTCCCTCTCTCCAATCGCACACACTTGTTCTTCTGACCTTCTGAATATCTAAATGATATAGCTATATTTCACCCTATTAAGATAAAGAGATTATAATGCATGTGGAGTTTTCTAAATATTTTAGGTAATTGTTTTATCAATATTGTTAAATTTGAAGACCTTAATGTGACAGATTTGGGGGATATGGGAATAACAAGAAACCTGAATCTATTAGAAAATGTATTGCAATTTTTCTTTCCTGCCAACCTTTATGGCAGCTCTCTCAAAGAATCATCCTGTGTTTTCATTATAAAACAATGCTTTATCAGGGGTTTAAATTGGAAAAATATTGATTAGGGAGGAAACTGACATGGTTAATTTAGAAGATATTAGTTTTGGCCTTTCTCCTATTTTAATATGTCTAGAAGTAAATAAATAACTGCTGTACTAGAAAAGATGGCTTTTTGACATAAAAGCAGCATTCCAAAGAGGTTTCATGAGAATTTTACACTGCTAGTTGGTATATAATCATATAAAATCTAGATGTTGTATAACAATTAATTTAACAAACTATGGAATTTTCTCCCACAGGAGACAGTGATGGCTATGAACCTAAATGGCTTTTAAAGAGAATTAAACAAATTCATAGAGGAGAAGTTTATTGATGACTGCTATCCATGATGGCTATTCTCTGCCACCACATCATGGCTAGCAGTCATCGATAAACTTCTCCTCTATGAATTTAGACTGATCTAAAACTTGCTATGAGCAGAACAGAGCTATTTCAGTTCACCAAGAGTGACCAGAGTTTCCAATGAAATTTGATCGAAAGCAAAACTCAAAGGAGATTGTTCTACCTCAGGAACAACATAGAAATAATTATAAGAGATTAAAGGATACTTGCAAAACCATATTGAAAAATCAGAACTCCTATTAGAATAAACAAGTTCCGTTTTAAATACTGAAATACTTAATAAGATGGATAACAATGTGTAATATAAAAAGAAGCATGAAATTAGGTTAAAGGTGTGTGAAAGAAAGCAATAGAAGTGGAAAGAAATTGCAATTGAGTAGATTGGAAGTCTAACACAAAGGTGGGGTGAGGGGGGTGGATAGTGATGGGAAAAGGAATTATCTGTGGGATTGAGTGTAGGTATGTTTGAACATTTTTAAGGATTGTATGAAATGTATGTTTGTATCCTTGTATATTCGCAATATGTGTGTATTAATGCTGAATTATGTTAATAATAAAATTTTTCTTTAAAAAAGAAATAATTCTAATAGCAACTAAATAATTTTCAGTCAGACTTCCACATTCTTAGAAAGCCAACACTAAATCATAATTTGTATTAATTTGGAAGGTTCCTCTTCAGATGGAACATTTAAGAAAAGGAATAAAAGTGTTCAATAATATTAGCAAAATGTAAGTAGATTAATAGTAGTATTAATAGTAGATTAATTGCTGGATTTTTGTCTAGTCCAGCTAGAGCTCCTCTTTGGTCATGTCTCTTTCCCTCCTGTGGAGAATGTCTGCATTTCATCATCCACCCCTGGCCATGTGATAAAACCAAACGGTCAGATAGGACTAACAATATTGGTAATCAGTGCTATTTTTCTGGAAAAAGAGGTGCCGGAACTCACCATGATCACCTTGCTCCTTCTCTTAGAATGGCAATGGCACCCACCTGAGAAGTGGGGGAACTGAGTTCCCCTGAGTTCCCGCTGGGAAAAAAGTCCTGTTGGTAACTTAGAATAACATGCTTCAGAGTTACCCATAGGGTCTTATTTCACTGTTCAGCAAACTTCAACACCAGCCCACATGTTTTCAACACAGACACACTTGGGTCCACCCTACAACTCTTTGTCTTTCACCCCTCTCTTGACCCAACAGGTTCCACACATAGAAGAAGAAGAAGAGTAGTAGTAGTAGTAGTAGTAGTAGTAGTAGTTTGGATTTGATATCTTGCTTTATCACTACCCGAAGGAGTCTCAAAGCGGCTAACATTCTCCTTTCCCTTCCTCCCCCACAACAAACACTCTGTGAGGTGAGTGGGGCTGAGAGACTTCAAAGAAGTGTGACTAGCCCAAGGTCACCAGCAGCTGCATGTGGAGGAGCGGGGAGCGAACCCGGTTCACCAGATTACGAGTCTACCGCTCCTAACCACTACACCACACTGGCTCTCTAGTTTGCCATGACAAAATCCCTTAGGTTGTTCCAGTCAGGCGGTCAATATTTTTAAATCAACCACTGATAATGCTACTCCAAGTTGGCTTCTATACAATACTAGCATATGTGTTGTTGAAAAGTACTGTATGTTATAGATTATTCTGAATTTGCATCATGATCCCACCTCCACTAATTATCCCAATGTTTTCCCCAGCTGTTACAGTGGTACCTCGGGTTACATATGCTTCAGGTTACATACGCTTCAGTTTACATACTCCGCTAACCCAGAAATAGTACCTCGGGTTAACAACTTTGCTTCAGGATGAGAGCAGAAATTGTGTGGCAGCAGCGGAAGGCCCCATTAGCTAAAGTGGTGCTTCAGGTTAAGAACAGTTTCAGGTTAAGAACAGACCTCCGGAACGAATTAAATATGTAACCAGAGTTACCACTGTACTTACAGAGGCTCATCTAGTTCAACTCCCTGCAATGCAGAAATCTCAGCTGAAGCATCCATGACAGATGGCCCCCCAACCTCTGCTTAAAAACCAGCAATGAAGGAGAGCCAGTCACCTTCCGAGGAGCCGGTTCCACTGTTGAACAGCTCTTATCTGATGTTTAGTCAGAAATGTATCTCTCAGCTTGATTGCTTGTAGTTTTGTGGTGACCAGTGGTTTTTAGAAAATGGTTTGGCTGATTGACCATCTCTAGCTACCTCATCTATATAATATGTCAAACGCTTACAAAAGTGGGGGCAAGTTTGCAAGAACAGTTAAAACTGCTTGTTGCAGTAGATCCATATAGATCCTTCTGGGCTAATCCAGACCATCAAACTGATGATCTGCTAGTTAAAATTGTTCTAAGGAGAGCCTGATTCAATAAATCCCTGAAGAACTCCTTCTGCTGTTAGTGTCTGGTAAATGAGCAGTGCTTGCTTTTCTGCATCGGATCGTAATGACTCCATTACAGTTTATCAGATCATTGATCTACAAAGTAAAGTGCATTTAAATATTCCATGACTTGATAGACTATGGTGTATGATCTCCTGAGTCATCTGCTCTTTCATTGAACCAATATAGAGGAGAAGCCATTATGTCATTTCTTCATCCACTGATCTAGAAGATCGTTAAAGAAACCTTTCCATCGGCAGTAAGCAATAGGCCTTGAGTGCTTGGTTTTGAGCACTCTGGTAGGAATTACATGGGCACTGCCAATAGAATTTTCATTGATATTCATAATAGTTCTAAGTGGAGTGCTGAAAGATCCAATTTTTCTACCATTTCACGTAATGAAACGACATAAGATCATTTGAGGCTGTAATAGTTCTTTGCTCTTGATTCAGTACACAAAAGACCCAAATCCCAGCCAGGTAATTTACACACAAATGGAGCTACATGCACATCGTTTATTGACTTGTTTTATCTTTTGCAATCCTTGGGTGGTAGGAATATTCTAAAGAACAAACTTCTTGTGAGCATAGAATACTGAACAGATAGAAAGATAGACAGACAGACAGATAGGTATTTTTGCTTTGTTTTTGAATTGTGTATCTGTTCATTGCCATTGGCTCTTTTGGGAAGGAAGTGAGATGTAAATTATATAAAAATATAAAATTTATATCCCACTTTCTTCCCAAAGGAGCCAATGGCAATGAAGCAAAAACAAAGGGACAACATTCTGAAACAGACAAAGCATTCTCAAAACAATAGCAATGAAAAACATCTAAAAGCAGGTACAGCTAAAAATATTTTTAAAGCAATTAAAAACATGCATCCATCCAACGATCTCCCCCCTGTGTCATGTGATTGATCATGTGGGGCAGGGCTTACCTCCGCCCACCCAATATTTTATTCAAGTTGGCACTCCTGCTTACAGCCAAAACACCTGTAGAAAATGGCTGAAAGTCCTATTGATTCATAGCCCCTGACAGATGAGATACAATGGGCGGCAAAAGGCTTTTTTGCTGGTGGCTCCCCAGGTGTAGAATCCCCTTTGCAGTCTAGAATATGGGACTTGTAGTCCACCCACAGGTTCCCCACCCCCCGGTGCACACTTCCAAGCAGTGATCTTTCAGGGTTCCTGACAGGGGATCTATCTAGCCTTGTTGTTGTTGTTGTTTAGTCATTTCCAACTCTTCATGATCCCATGGACCAGAGCACGCCAGGCACTCCTGTCTTCCACTGCCTCTTGCAGTTTGGTCAAACTCATGCTGGTAGCTTCGAGAACACTATCCAACCATCTCGTCCTCTGTCATCCCCTTCTCCTTGTGCCCTCCGTCTTTCCCAACATCAGGGTCTTTTCCAGGGAGTCTTCTCTTCTCATGAGGTGGCCAAAGTATTGGAGCCTCAGCTTCAGGATCGATCCTTCCAGTGAGCACCCAGGGCTGATTTCCTTCAGAATGGATCGGTTTGATCTTCTTGCAGTCCATGGGACTCTCAAGAGTCTCCTAAAGGACCATAATTCAAAAGCATCAATTCTTCGGCGATCAGCCTTCTTTATGGTCCAGCTCTCACTTCCATACATCACTACTGGGAAAACCATAGCTTTTACTATACAGACCTTTGTTGGCAAGGTGATGTCTCTACTCTTAACCTAGGAAGTAAACCTGGGACCTTATATATGCAAAACATGTCTTTGACTGCTGAGTACTATCAGTTACAGCCCTTTTGTAGCCCCTATAATCCCCATTCAGGGAACAAGATCAGTTTGAGTGGAGCAGTGCATTAGTCAAACTACAACACAGGTGTCCTAAGGAGGTAAAAAAACAAAACCCTGCAATGAATAATAATAATAATAAATTTTATTTATATCCCGCCCTCCCCAGCCAAAGCCAGGCTCAGGGCGGCTAACAACAAACAAATAATCCAACAATCAAATAATCCAACATTCTAAAACATTTCATTATAAAAATTAATTAAAATCAAATTAATGGCAACCGTTAAGCAAAGTTCTGTGCAGGTTGCCAGAGGAAGGAGTCAGGCTGGGCCCTGACCAAAGGCCTGGTGGAACAACTCTGTCTTGCAGGCCCTGCGGAAAGATGTCAGGTCCCGCAGGGCCCTAGTCTCTTGTGACAGAGCGTTCCACCAGATTGGAGCCACAGCCGAGAAAGCCCTGGCTCTAGTTGAGGCCAGCCTAACCTCTCTGAGGCCTGGGACCTTCAGGATGTTTTTATTTGCAGACCGGAGGTTCCTCTGTGGGGCATACCAGGAGAGGCGGTCCCGTAGGTACGAGGGTCCTAGGCCGTATAGGGCTTGAAAGGTTAAAACCAGCACCTTAAACCTGATCCTGTACTCCACCGGGAGCCAGTGCAGCTGGTATAGTACCGGATGAATGTGATCTCGCAGCGAAGACCCCATAAGGAGTCTCGCCGCGGCATTCTGCACCCGCTGGAGTTTCTGGGTCAGTCTCAAGGGCAGCCCCACGTAGAGCGAGTTACAATAATCCAGTCTGGAGGTGACCGTCGCGTGGATCACAGTGGCTAGGTCAGGGCGAGAGAGATGAGGGGCCAACTGCTTAGCTTGGCGGAGATGAAAAAATGCCGCCTTTGTTATAGCTGTAATCTGCGCCTCCATAGAGAGGGAGGTATCGAAGATTACACCCAAACTCTTAACGGACGGTGCTGGCACTAATTGCACCCCCGCAAGAGATGGGAGTTGCCCCCCCAATCCCATATCGTCCCGTCCCAGCCAGAGGACCTCTGTCTTCGAAGGATTTAACAATGAAGCGGAAGGGTAAAAGCTCACTAGGTTTCAGTATGAACACAGACCATGAAAGCAGGTCCTCATGATCTTTCCGAATTTGAGGTTTTAAGGAGTAAGTGCCTCAAACATTAATACAGGGACTGCATTTTTGTGGTGTTCAGCTGCCCATGCTAAAATTGTATCGTCCGGAGTAGCATAGTTCCCTGGTTGAATTGAAAATGTGACCCACTTTGACCTTAATTACTCATTATTAGTACCTGCCAGTAATCAAATAATGTGATCTTTTTAGAGAACTGGGGGGTATTATCACCCTCAGATGAAAACATTAGCTTTTAAGAGAAATGAAGCCATATTTCGCAAACTGAACCAAGTGGTACTAATCCCCTAACAAACAACAAATTATACATTCTGTGTTGATGCAAGTGAAGTCGACAGGGTATAATCTTAATTTGTATGTACAAGATTTAGAGGCAAGCTAATGGATGGGTTGCGAACTGCTGAGCCTTTTGAAAGAAGGTGCTTCTACCATCTAGCAATGAAGCTTGGGGTCATGCACAGTGTGTGAATACACATAAGTTTTTTATGGACTGTCTGCTCTGTGTACATCCCTAGAGGACTTAAAGCCATACTTCCTTGCTTTATGGCCTGGGATTTGTACAGCACGTATAATCATTTTCTTAACATAAGAAATCTGGTCATGCATTCAAGGTTCCTCTTGGTAGAAAACGATATTGCACCAAGGGAGGAATGAAGATCTCTGTACTGAGGTGTGTGAGCCACCCCAATACATCCCTCCCCCCCCCAGACATTTGGAGAAAAGAACATGAGGCGTGAATCCCTTGTGCTTCCTGTTCCCTCTGCTTCTCCATCATATCCAAAATACAACGTTCGTATTTGTCCCCTTCATTGAAATGTGCAAGCTGTCATCCCTACAGCAGAGCACGCATATCTCACAACGTGCATGCCTTTTTGGGGAGAGAGGAAGGAGAAAGAAGCTTTTTCCAGTATTACAGAAAAAGGCAGGAGGTTTACAGTTATGTGTCGAGGTCCCCAGGGCCACCCCAATAACTCACACGTCACACGGAATTTTTGTTTAAGGTTTTTGGCATAATTTTGGCCACAACTTTATTAAAATACAAATAAGTGAGTGCTTGCCTAGGCATTGGTTGCAACTAGCTGCCCCCACCGTGGGGGACAGTCTGACATTCCGCACGCCTGGGAAGTCAGAAAAGGGGAATACACTTGGGGGTAGAGACGGAGCAGGGAACCTGCCCTCAGCCCACCCCAAATGCAGCCAGGAGCTCTTGCAATAGCCCCAGCCCCCTTGACAGGGTGGACAAGCAATAGTTAGCCCCCGATTCCTTTAACGGAATCCCTTGCAGCAGCAGCATTAGAGGGGCAGGCACAGCCAATCCATGCTCCTCAACCAACCAAACCATAAACCAATGCCTAACCACAACCTTACAAGTTGTGACAATTTGCTACGCAGTAGGCAAAAACCAAATGGCCCCGGCCAATCAGCCAGATACACAAAATTCCTACCAGGCCCCTGCCCCAAGAGCAGATGACCCCATGATAGGCATAGCAAGGTCAACGCGAACAACCCTAATTCTAGGGAGGGGGGATGGGCAATCCAATGCACGGGCGAAAAGAGGAAGCCCTAGCCTCGTGCAAGTAGTTTTAGCATTTCTGGCTGTCAATCAACAAATGGCAACATTAACTTCTTCCCAAAAAAGGAAGCCCAATCGCATCAGTGGCCAACGGTCAATTAGCCCGCCCCACAACTTTGGAGTGTCCTGGCGGCCCCCACCGCAACACGTGCTCTCCATGAAGGAGATCACGCTTTCCTGATGACTAGGCAGTACCAGTGGGCTTCAGGTTAGGGGGTACAGTACTATGGAGTTTGGGGGAGTTAATTCCTTATTGCACACCACTTCCTGCCTTCTCTGCAAGCAGCAATGATGAGTATTTCTGTGGTTTGGAGGAAGACCTCAAGCAGCAACATGTCTTCCGTTGCTACCAAAAATAATAGGAGTGGGAGGGGTGAAAGAAAAGGGCAGCAGATTGCTCTTGGAATGGCATACAAAAGACGAACAGGTTAAATCTGTAATGATGCACTGGGCAAGGGAATTGGGGCATAATATTCAGATTTCAGATTGGGAAAGGTTATGGAAAACAGATTTGAAATTCACGGCATGTTGTACGCTGAAAGAAAATTATATGAAAATGATGTGCCGGTGGTATTTAACTACTAGTAAATTAGCGAAGAGTCGGACATGACTAAACGACTAAACAACAACAACAAATTAGCAGAGGGACATGGGTGGTGCTGTGGTGTACTGTACCTTGGTCTTGCCGATTGGAAGGTCGGCAGTTCAAATCCCCGCGACGGGGTGAGCTCCCATTGCTCGGTCCCAGCTCCTGCCAACCTAGCAGTTCGAAAGCATGTCAAAGTGCAAGTAGATAAATAGGTACCACTCCGGCGGGAAGGTAAATGGCATTTCCCTGCAGTGCTCTGGTTTCACCAGAAGCGGCTTAGTCATGCTGGCCACATGACCTGTGGAAAAACTGTCTGCGGACAAACATCAGCTCCCTCGGCCAGTAAAGCGAGATGAGCGCCACAACCCCAAAGTCGGAGTCCTTTACCTTTACCTTTAAATTAGCAAAAATGTATAAAACAAGTACAAATATCTGCTGGAAATGTAAAGAAAATGAAAGCACCTTTTATCATATGTGGTGGTCATGTAAGGTAATAAAGTTTCTGGGAAATAATGTATAACGAACTGAAACTGAAAAAAAATGGATATGGATGGATACAAAACATAGACTATGAAATAATATGTACAGTAGTTGGAAATGCTGACAATAGGACCCATGGAGGGGATGAGGGGATGTCTCAATATTCAGAGAAATCTCATTTTTATGGATATGTATTTGGTATTGTAATTAATTTACAA